TTCAACTTATCCATAATTCAATTTGCCTTTCAAATCCCGAACATTTATTATTACTATTCACTTAAACCTCTCATATCATCTTATACTAAATCTATATTTTAATCCCATAATTTCTCCTCCTTTTCAATTTGATCATTTGGCTTATACATATTTCTAAATCAGTCTCAAATAATATTTTAATACCAAAGTCATCATTCTATTATATATTGTTCAAGTACTTTTATTATTCATATTTATTTTGTAACCTTTAAGCTTACCATTTAAGTATTTTATATTTTTGTTCCCAAATTTAACAAACTAGTGCAAAATCAACATTTCGATATTAAATCATTATTTTAATATTTGATTCCAATATATTATTTAAAATCTTTTTTAATAACTATACAATTGTCATTTAAGTCTTCAATCTCTTTCCATTTTGCGATTTAACTCTTATACCATTATAACTTTCCAAATTCAATTCTAAATTCATTATACCATAATTTTAAGAGAAAATAACCTCAGTGACCAAAAATCCTAGATAATATACGATTTTGACCATTTTTTCTTGGATTTGCGAAAATGACCAACAAAATCGCAATGCGATCTCTAATTCGCATTGCGATCTCCACTATCGCAAATTCGCGTTGCGATAGTTGAAAATCGCAACGCGATTTTCCATTTCGCGTTGCGATAGTTGAAAATCGCAACACGATTTTCCATTTCGCGTTGCGATAATCTACAGTTGTTGTTGCGATTTTCCAAATTCGTTGTGATAGTTAAAAAAAAGATTTTGTTTCTTAAGAATTTTCTCTAAAAAGATAGTATCCGCACGGACGTGTCGAAGACACGTATTACCACGACCAGACCACGACCACGACCCGAGACGGACGGCGGCGGCGGCGGCACGCGAGAGTCCCCCTTGTTCTCTATCACTCAACAAGGAAGTGGGAAAGCCAAGCCTTAAATATCATTCCCAATAGTGTTTCAAATACTATGTGGGATTGAGCATTACCAACACTTGTTTCCAATACAATGTGATTATTCAGGAAACAATTAAAAATCATGCACCTTAAAACAACTGAATTAGCAACCAATTGCATTAGTATTATACGATTAAATATGTCATAATTAAAAGTCAATCTACAATCAATCGCGATTATTGCAATTTTAAGCAAAACATTCAAAAATAATATCACTATTTAAGGCTCAATCCCACATAGTATTGGGAACAAGTGTTGGTAATGCTCAAATCCCACATAGTATTGGAAACACTATTGGGAATAGTATTTAAGGCTTGGCTTTCTCACTTCCTTGTTGAGTGATAGAGAACAAGGGGGACTCTCGCGCACCGCCGCCGCCGCCGTCTGTCTCGTCTCGGGTCGTGGTCGTGGTCGTGGTCGTGGTCGTGGTCGTGGTCGTGGTCGTGGTAATACGTGTCTTCGACACGTCCGCGCGGATACTATATTTTTAGAGAAAATTCTTAAGAAACAAAATCTTTTTTTTAACTATCGCAACGAATTTGGAAAATCGCAACGACAACTGTAGACTATCACAACGCGAAATGGAAAATCGCGTTGCGATTTTCAACTATCGCAACGCGAAATGAAAAATCGCGTTGCGATAGTCAATTATCGCAACGACAACTGTAGACTATCGCAACGCGAAATGGAAAATCGCAACGCGATTTTCAACGCGAATTTGCGATAGTGGAGATCGCAATGCGAATTAAAGATCGCATTGCGATTTTGTTGGTCATTTTCGCAAATCCAAAAAAAGTTGGTCAAAATAGTATATTATCTGGGATTTTTGGTCACTGAGGTTATTTTCTCTAATTTTAAACATAGGATAAATTCTTTTTAAAATTTTATCTCAAATTTTCTATTTTATTTAATATAATCCTTTTTGCTATCTAATCGTAATTTAAGCATCGTAAAATAAATTCGAACATTCCAATAACATGTTTAGTTTCTACTTATTAACTTATACCAATTTCCATTTCATACCCATAACTTATACAAATTTGTAATTTAGTCCTCGATCTTAACAATCTTGCATATTTAACTTCAATTCAAGCTTTAATTAACATAACCAAAGTTTCCAGCATTTAATTAAAACATATCACCTAAAAAATTACAAAATTTTCACTTAAGTCTTTATATTTTCCGTGTTTATTATTTAATCCCAAAACTTTACTAATTTTTCAAAGTAATCCAATTTCATAATTTAACATTAATTCAATATTCTAAAAATATAATTTCTAGCATAGTACTTTAACTATTAAATAATTAAACCTTAATCCTCATATTTTACAAAGTATGCAAATTATTCCTATCATCCCAATAAACATCCTAATGTCAAATTTATCATTCCAACATTCAATTTCAACATAACACATCAAATATTAAAAAAACATTACATGAATCCCCATGTTTCTCAATTTATGCAATTAAGTCCCTATACTTTCAAAAAATTTCAAATTGGTCCTAATTATATTTAATCATGCAAAATCATTCAAACATCATTTCTAGACCTTGTATAATTTTTTCACTATTTTTCTTTGTCTTCTTCTCTTAGGCCTAATTGATTAAAGTGTATTAAGCTTGATTTTCAACTTGGTTCAGGCATGATTTCATATTCCTAATAATATTTCCATGTAATATCAATCATTTCCATAACAAAAACTAATCAAAATTTCATTTCTTCATGAATCTTAACTATGACCGAATAGTATATAAAAATTTCTAAGCAATTTTGGTCATTATTTAAACTTGAAAACAACTTTATAACATTAATAACACAAACATATATCCATGAATAATCAAAATCTAACTTATCCACTCTAGAAAAAAAAATCATTGATTCAAACATGTAAATTATGTAATATTCATCAAATGGTAGATAATTTGATATAGATCATTTTTCGTTTTTACAACTTATTTCAAAAACCAAAGTAAAAAAGACTAAAATGAAGAAAATAAAGGAAGAAAACATACCTTACTTATTTTATCTATGGTGTAAAAAAATTATAGGGAGAAAGAGTTTTCTTGATTTTTCTACAAAAATATCTATGTACACTTGTTAAATTCTAATTAAAATGAATTTAAAATTCATTTTAGTCCAAAAGTCATTTCTACCCTTAATGAATCTTGATATTTACCACTTTTACATGCTTTCACCACCATTCTTACATCATCATATAAATATCAACATTTATTTGATTAATTTTATCTTAGCCCTTTCACTTTTCCAAAATTTCAATTTAGTCACTTAACTTCCACTATTCAGCTTTGACATGGAAAATCCACTTAATCCCACAATTCCATGTTAAATTCTACTGATTAAAATTATAAATATAATATTTCAAACCCAATAATACCATTCTTCAATTTTTTGTAAAATTTTGATTCGATATGATTATCTGAATACTTTACCGAACTTTATCGCTTACTAGCTCTTTACACAAATTTCATATCAAAATATGAATTGCATAAAGAATCTATTCTTAAATATGAACTATTTATGTATAGAATAAATTTTATTTTTGGGAAAATTACCTCTTTGGTCCTTGAATTTTTCTAATTTTCTACTTTGGACATTAATCTTTCAAAAATTAAGTTTATCAAAGTTTTAGGGTATTACATGAACAATATTGATACTGTTCTTCGAGGGGTCAAAATAATGGACTGTTCTAGTTGGGAGTATCAATGCTCATTCTTTGAGTATATATGTTGTCTCTTGGGTACCGATACCCAATGGGTAGTATCAATACCATTTTAGGATTTAGGATTCTAGTAGCCTATCGATACTCAAGGTAGTACCGATAATGAGGTAAGGGTATCGATACTTAGCTAATTTTACAAACATTAAAGACATTTTTGGTATCGATACCAAGAAAGTGACATCGAAACCCAAAAGACTAGTATTGATACTATAAGGCTAGTATTGATACCCTCATTATGATTTAGGTAAAAAACCTATCACATCTCACGTGAGTTTGGTTAAAAGATCAAAGGCCATCTAAACTTCATAAATAATATTCTAAGAGAGAACAACACTAATGACTATAATCTCATGTAGAAACGATATAATTTAAGGAAATAAAACTAGCCTTGTATGGTGTGCAGGAAATGAACATGACAATAGAGCTACTCTAGTAGCTAGGTAAATGCTTGTGTGGTAGAATTTTTGGACAAGTCTTAATTAGTGCACAAGACACTTCTTTACTGATTGGACGTAGATGCCTCAAGTACTCTTTTGGAGTAGGTTGGTTATGTGAACTTTCCGATGCAGAAATTTCAGATCTCATCCTAGGTATGCTAGAAGGGTGTGTGTCTCTTAGATGTAGCGAAAACCTCCAACCACACCATAATCCCCACCTTTATATGTATGTTTAGATTTTTATTTTCGTATGCAAATATTTATGTTAGCAAGCATGATCATATAATGGACGCATATAGTATAGTTTGGTTATTAGTGTGGCAATGAGATTATGACCTCATTGTTTGAAATTTGTTTCTGTGCATAAGTTCTTAGAATGAGTGTTTGAGGAACTTATCGTGCAGTTCGCATTCCATACCAACATCATCTTTTGAGTACGTTTTAAGCATATTTTTAGAGGGCATGTACTATATATGGACTCTCTTGCATTTGATTCATATTTTATTTTGAATTACTTTTTTTAAAATGGTTAGATGTATATTTTGGCGGCTCCCGTAATTGTAAACTTTGGCATTATACTTTTAGTTGTTTGGATGATTTTCAATGGATATTTTAATTCATTTTAATCGCTTAAAAAGAAAATTTTTGGATTAACTACCTCGGTGGTCCCCGTGCAGGGTAATTCATCGATCTTCGGGTCGTGGTGGATTAGGACATTATATGTTTGTTGACGACGTTGTTCCTTCATGTTGAGGACAACTAGTCGTATTTGAGAGACTGCATCTGAAGATAATAATATTCCTTCGCGTTGAGGTTTGATTTTGGAAATGACTCTGCTCCTATGTGATAAGGAGTTCTAGTCACTTTTGAGTGATTTGCTCGATGTCAAATCCGATGATGACATTGCTCCTTCACATTGAGGATGTCTAATTAGTGGATGACATTGTTCAATCATGATGAGGAGATCTTGTAAAAATTGTGCATATTTAAATGCAACTATCTTAAATGTTTTCATGAATGTCAATATGAAATTCATCTGATTTTTTTTTATCTTTTTGAAAATAAGCTTTCAAATTTTTCCTCATGAGAGGTGGAAATGGTCTTAAATAAGAAAAAATTTCAAGATAAATTTTAAAGACATCCTCGTGAGAGGGAAGTCTAAGTTTTTTATGTTGTATGTGACGATGAATGTTTGATGCAAAGATGCAAATTCATGTAACATGTATGTATAAGTGAATGTATGTTTCTTTATCAGTAGTTAGGAATGATTGCACGGTTTTCTTTATTCTCATCATGATTCACCCATTTCCTTCTTTTTCACACCAGAGTGCACACTTAAAATTCTTAACTTGTGTCCACTTGTTATTCTTGCCCTAGTTTTGATTCTAAGCTTCTATGTCCGAGAGACATTTTCCAATTTTCAAGATATACGCCAAGAGATTTTCTTGTTCTATATGTTTTCCTCCTATTTAATTTTCAAAAAGTGAAAAAATTTGATGAAAAAGTTTTGAAAAATGATGCCTCTTACTTTGAGTTCACAATTGAGACAAATTATAAAACAAGAGTTCATTGGACATCAAAGAATCAATTGCTCTTTCGATTCAAAATTATATAGCTCTTTGATAAGTGTCAAGATTAAGCAGCCTGATTTTAGGTTGGCTTCTTAAATTTTCTATGGTTTCTGTCACTGAGTTGTCATTTTCTTCTCTGTCCATGTGAACATTGTGACATACCCCTTCTTCTCGGCTTGGCATTTTGATTAGATGTGTATAAAATGATGCAACTATCATACTCAATTACTAAACCTGTTAGAACACTTCTATTTTGATTCTTTGAAATATTCCTTTTTTTCAAGTTTCGTAGACTTCTCTAATATAGGTAGTGCAAAAATATTAGTCTAAAAACAAAATTCCTAAGTGCTTGTGTGAAGTTAACTATAACAAGTGTTTCTCAACTCCCTTAGTACCGATACTCTCAGAGTATCGATAGGGTATTGATACTCTAGGTGTAGTACCGATATTTTCCTATTCTTAATGGCTAGAATTTTGTGATTAATACAGGCAGTACCGATACTCCAAGCCTGTGTACCGATACTTAAGGTGTCTAGGATGCATTTATTGCGTGAAAAATTCATCACAATGACTCTATTAACTCCCACAACAACCAAAACAGCTAGAATTGAATGAAGGGGTATAAAAACAAGATTTCAAGTCATATGTGAAGACAAGAGAATATAAAGAAAGCCAAAGCAATCAAATTGAGCCAAAAATCAAGTCAACATTCTTGAATATTCTTTTTGCTTTGAAAGAATACTTGTGTACTCCTTTGTTTTATTTGTTAAGTGTTCTTTTTGTTCTTGAACTGCGCAAACACATTCTTAGTGAGGGTTTTTCTAAGTTTTCTATTTGTAATTTTTTCTTAGGAAGGGTTGTGCACTTGAAACTTTGGGGTATAAGTCTAAGTGTGTTGTAAGGTGTAACCTTGTCCTAAAAGGTTTGAACAAATTAGTGAATTTGTTGAAATCCTTAGTGTGGAAACTAATGAAGTGGATGTAAACTTCATTAAGGAAGTTGAACCACTCTAAAATTGCTTGTGTCCAGTACTTTCATTTTCTCTCAAAAAGCTTCCATCATTTTTCTTATTTGTCAATTCACCCCCTCTTGTCATTTCATTGGTTCGATTTACTCAACAATAATACATTTGATTTTAATGATCATAATCAAGACTATTGATAAAATAATTATTAAATACCATTTAAGATAATTTACAACTAATTTATCATTTTTAAATAAAGTGTTATTTTTCACCATAACTAAAGACATTTAAAAAATGATATTATTATTTTTAATTAATAAAATTTCACAAAAATATCGTTCTATCCACAATAATTCAAACGTCTCTATATTTATCTAACCACCATTTTCATTAATGCATAGTTTACAAAAAATTTAATTGTCATAATGATGCATATTAAAAATATGCATATTAATGCATGTAAACACTCAGATGGCATTTGCCGTTTCAAATTACCATTGCAATTTTATTATCCGAGCATAATATTAATTTCATGTATTATTCATCATTAGTCAACCAACCATTATCAAATATGGAAAGATTTATTCAATGTTTGATATCCTTAACACTAAAGATTAATTCTGACATATTTCTTTAGTAATTTTGTAGGGATACAAAACGTTTATGAATATTCTTCCTTCAGTAATAAGATAGATTGAACCTGAATTCGGATTAAAAGTTCATGTATCGATAATCAATCATGACAAGTATGAATCCTTTTAACTGATCAAAAGATTATTAATCCTCGGAAAAAAATACTTATTCTTTACTTTACCTTATTTTGGCTGATAATAATCCACTCATAATTGTATAGACTCATCTTTCTTTTTCACAATTAACATTAATACATCACAGATGACACGCTTAGTTATGTAAGTATCCGATCTTAACAATTTTCATAACTACACCTTTAATTTTCTAGGCTCAGTCGGAGCCATTTAATACGAGGCTATAGAAATAAACGCAGTACCTGGTAACATCTCTATTTTATATTATATATACCTTAATCTGGAGGTAATCGAGATAACTCTTCTAGAAACATATATGGATACTCTCAAATAGTTAGAATATCTCCCAACCTAACCTTAAATTTCTATATATACTTCACATTGATTAAGAAGACTTAACAACCTTGTTACAACTTCTTGGCAGTTATTGCTAAAATCACATCAGATAACGGGTTTACTTACCAATCTCATAACCTTTCGAGTTCTTTTAAATCGATCACTTTAAGCGATAATTCATTATGGCATGGTAGGAGGCAACCAATCCATACAAAAAATTACCATGGAAAGATAATTCTATTAAGTCCGTCAAGACTCATCACTTTGAATTTTTAGTAGACAATTATTGGCTACTAATACGACTTACCCTCGCACTCTGACCTAAATTGTTAGTTATGCACATGTCACTTATGGCCTATTCTATCATAATGTCCCTCTATTTAATCAATGTAGTACTTGTATATGAACAAGGTTTTCTTAATCTTACATTGGTACTTCCTATGGTGCCGGTGCACTATCAAAATCAGATTAATCAGGAAGATTATAATTAATTATATTATCATCACTATCTTTCTATTCTCGAGCCTCTTGTCCGATCATTTACCTTAAACCTTCTATTTCAAATATTTTATACATATATTATGCTTATTCACTTTCATTAGTAAAAAGAGTGACATCAATCAAATCATATATATAACAAATCGGTAACAATGACATCCTAGTGGCATGTATACACTTTTCAGCTCAAAATAGGTTCGGTTTAGGCCTAGAATCGGTTAAACTTGATGCTCTGATACAAAAAAAATGTAACAACCATAGATCGTATATGTCTCAAAATGCGAGCTAAATATGATACATCAACTTTACAAACATTCACTGATAAAAAATGCTTAAAATTTTGTTCCATTATAAAACATTTCATTATTAACTTTACATTTATTCCATTGTTTGTGTAAAATCATAAATAATAATTATCATATAAATCAAGATTAATTTTAGGTAGAAGTTTAGTAATTTAATAGTAAACAATACTGCTTAAAAACTACCTAATTTTAAAATATTTCTTTGTTCTCGTAAAATACCCTTATAATATATCTTAGACATTTCTTATTTGTATACATGTCATCTAAAAAAATTTAAAATAGTAGGATGCCATTATTGATACTTGTAATTGTTCTTTGTTGATTGATGCTAACTAAACTCCTTACTTCACTTGCCCTTCTTTGCCTACACATGAAAATCATCACACATTAAGTATTGACTTAATGATGCATTATAAACAAACTAAGGTGACATAAAATATTAAACAACTTAACAATATCATAACATTATTTTTCTTTATATAAAACTTAACTTGAAATATCATAACAATTCTAAACATTACATTTAAATTCAAATAAAATCATTAAATATCCAAACCGATTTATTCAAGTCATCTTTCCTCATCAGAGACCTGAAAATCATCATCTCATGATTTTATAAAAACCACGATAATCAATAATAAACATAACAATCATATCATACTCTATTTCGTTCAAATACTTTTCAAAATTTTCTTATTTTTTTTTATCATTTTCCACTTTCATATTCATTCACATATTCATTTTTATATTCCATTTTCATAATAAATATTTTCACGTTTTAGAATTTATTTTCCGAATCAGAACTTATTTCTAGATTCATAGCTTATTTTCAGATTCATAGCTTACTGTCAAATTCATAGCTTACTGTCAGATTCATAGCTTATTTTCAAATTCATAGCCAAATGCATATTTATGAGAATGCAAGGTATATGAGTAGAACATAAGGTGCGCACAGGGCACATCATAGTGCCAATCTTAATTGAAACATATAATGCATTCTGTTATGTATGGCTCATAAAAAGTCTCGTTGTGGGGTTACGAATTATGTGGGTTGGGGGTGCGGGGGCGCAGACTCCGCGGTACGGTACAGGGTTGATTTTGTAATTATGTACCAGGGTTTTCTATTATAAAATAGAGATGTAACCTAGACCTAAAATATCATTGAATAAAACTTCTAGCGCCGCCTAGGCACCGAGGACGTAAGCACATTGCCGAACCTCGTAAAATTCTCATGTTCTTTTGTTTTCTTTACCCGTTTTCGTCAACAATTGGTATCAGATGTCAGGAGCAAAATTCGAAGTCGCGAAATTCGATGGTCAGGGTAACTTCGGATTATGGCAAACGAGGGTGAAGGATCTATTGGCGCAACAAGGGATCTTGAAGGCTTTGCGACCTACAAAGCCGGCGTCGATGGATGAGGAAGATTGGG